TATAGTCCAGTCTATAGTCTAGTCTATAGTCTAGTTTATAGTCTGGTCTAGAGTCTAGTCTATATTCTAGTCAAAAGCCTAGTTCTATACACTAGTCTATAGACTAGTCTAGAGTTCAGTCTATAGTGTAGTCTATGGTCTAATCCATAGTCTAGTCTATAAGCTAGAATATAGTCCAATCTATAGTCTAGTCTATAGTATAACTTTTAGTGTAGTCTATAAAGTAGTCTATAGTCTAGTTAGTTTATAGTCAGGGGTTTTACACGACAATCGCAGATTGCAACATTTGTATGGAAATCTTAATAAAATTAAAAAGATACCGATTTCAACAGTGCCAAGTACATAATAAAATTTTCCCAATATTTAGGGATTTTCCAACAGTAAAAATAAAAAAAAATATTTAAAATTTGCAAACAACAGATGACACATAAAGATGATCTCGCCGAGGCATTAACATCATGTTTGATTTACTTAGTTTATATATTAAAGATAATTGTTTTAATTTATGAGTAGATTAAAAAATATACTAGAAATTAAAGAGAAAAAAAAAAAACGACGTGTCATGAGCCGTACAAATTATATGACATATTTTGCACACAAATTAATTCAAACATATAAATAAATTACAATTAATCAAAACAATTTGAAATTTCAGACAAAATATTTAACACAAATCAATGGAGTGAATTAAAGTGAACTGAAGCATTTAATGCTAATATATATATATATATGCATGTATATTACCATATGCCAAGTAAAATTTAAAATAAATTGAATATTCAATTGTTCTGTTAACACCACATATTTATGATCAATTGCTTTTGATTTATAAATGCATAAGGAAACACCAAGAACTGTCAGTCTGATAGTCTGGTGGTTTAATTTTACATTTTAATTGAAAATGGGTCGTTAGTATTATATTAAAATTTTATAGAAAATACCCTACACTATGTTAAAGCTTAATACTGGCTTCCAATTTCTATTGTCTTATAAGATTAGGTTTGGTTTTTGTACTAACTACGTAGAACAAGGGATTCTGTGACAGGACCTTAACTATAATCAATTGATATCAATATACTGATCTCAAAATTGATTTAAAACCAAACTATAGTGTTTTCTATAAACTAGACTAGGGTTTATTATATGGTCTATTCTATAAACGAGACTATAGTCTATTCTATAGACCGAACTACAGTATATTCCATAGACCCGTCTAGTCTCGTCTATAGAGCATGCTATATTATATTCTATGGTTCAGACTATTTTATAATATAGACTATAGTCTATTCTACAGACCAGACCAGATAGAACAGACTATAGACTATTCTTTAGAACAGACTATAGTCTATTTTATAAACAAGACTATAGGTTATTCTATAGTCTAATCTGAAAACATATGTATAGATCAGACTATAGTCTATTCCAAAGACCGATAGTACTATAATCTATAAACCTGACAATAGTATATTCTATGGATCAGACTATGGTCTATTCTATAATCCAGACTGTTATTAATTCTGTAGTCTATAATATAGTCTGGGTAAATAGGATTCGTGTGCCGACAATTTTTGTAGTGTAGACACGTTTAAATCATTAAAAATTCGTTATCTATTCTGAAATTTATAGAATGATCATATAATTTTGTAGCTCATCATAAAGCCTAATTTAACACATCATAAATTTGTTGTTTATTTTTATTATTGATAAAAAATTCAATTAAAAAAAACTCAATTTATTATCACTAAACTATTTAATGGATTTAATGAAGTTGTGATTGGAAAATATTTAAATCACGTTCCATGTTTTAAAACAACAAAACAAGCTGTTTCATGAAACGTGATTGCGGCTATGATGACGTTTTTTCTTTAGTTTTTATTTATATATTGCTTCGGTAATTATTTTAAATAATATCAACTGCTAGTAGTATTAAAAAAAAAAAAACTGTAAATAAAATAAAAAAAAAACGACTCAACACCCAGAGATTGGTGTCAGCCAGAAAAACAGCAAAATTAAAAGAAGAGTAACAATATAATTTGCATAGTCAGTAGTACTGGGTACTTGTATTATAAGTACTTTGTAGGTATTATTGGCTCAGCAGACTGACGACGGACAAAACATTGGCTGGGGTCAGTAACATGAAATTCAATTAACATTTACTTTGTGGAAAAACAGACTATTATTGTATTTTGTTATTTGTGTTTGTTATATCAATATTTTACATAAAATTTTATGTTTTTTAAAAAAAATACTTGTTTTTAATGTGATGGGATTTACATTGATTTTACTCTTTATGGGTAAATAACGATTATATACATATATTTCTATATAATTAAAACTTATTTGTTTGAATTTGCTTTTTAAAATTCTCTGTAAATTTAATTGTTTTTTTTTTTAAGTAGAAATAAATCAAGTTTATTGGGGGAATTTCTCTGCTAAATGATGCAATATGTTTATATTTTCTGTATGCAATACAATTTTATAATTATATATTTTACACGAGTGTTTGTTAAAATTACAATTACTTTGTAATTTAAATTTATTTAGGATATTAATTAGGCTCAGTAGAGGAGTTCTGGTTTATATTTCAAAGATAATCTAAAAAATTTTATCAGGTTTTCTAAAAAGTGCAGAAAAACATGATAAAAACATTACCACCGACGATGACCTAAACAAGTCGAAAATTAGTAATGGTTCGAATTTTAAATTCAGAGGCAAATATTGTCTACACTATAGGCTAGACTATTTCATAGGCCAGACTATAGTCTATTCTATAGGCCAGGCTAAAGTTTATTATATAGATCATACTATAATCCATTCTAAGACCATATTATAGTCTATTCAATAGACCACACTATAGCCTAGGCCAGACTGTAGTCTATTCTATAGACTATACTATAGTCTATTCATAGACCATGCTATAGTCTATTCTTAAATCATACTACAGCCTATTCTATAGGCCATACTATAGTCTATTCTTATAACATACTATAGTCTATTTTTAGAACATACTATAGTCTATTCTTAGACCATAAAATAGTCCATTCCATAGACCATTTTATTGTCCATTCTTAGACCATACTATAAGCGATTTAATAGATCACACTATAGCCCATTCTATACTACTACAGTCTGGCCGTAGTCTATTCTATAAATCATACTAAAGTCCACTCAAAGACCATGCTATAGTCCATTGTTAGACCACACTATAGACTATTCTATACACCATATTATAGTCTATTCTTATAACATACTATGGTCTATTTTTAGAGCATACCATAGTCTATTCTTATACCATACATTAGTCTATTCCATAGACCATACTGTTGTCCATTCTTAGACCATACTATAGACGATTTAATAGACCACAATATAGACTATTCTATAGGTCATACTGTGGTCTATTCATATACCATACTATAGTCGATTTAATAGACCACACTATAGCCTATTCTATAGGCCAGACCATACAGACTTTACGATAGTCTATTCTAATATCAGACGTTATAAAGGGATCTATAAGGACCCAAGTAAAGCTATACTAGTGGTAGTATACAGTCTGCAGAACCTAACCTATTCTAATATAATACTATTATATATACCATACTATAGTCTATTATTAGACCATACTATAGTATATTCTATAGAACATACTATAATGTATTTTTAACCATGATGTATTTATTTAGACCACATTATAGCTTATTCTATAGGTCAGACTGTATTCAATAGACCATACTATAGTCTATTCTATAGACCATACTATTATCTATTCTTAGACCATATTATAGTTTATTCTATACACCATACTATAGACGATTCTTCTAACATACTATAGTCTATTAGTAAATAATTCAGTTTTTGTCAATTTATGGCGGTTTTAAGATTTAGGTTAAGATATCTCTAAGAAGGAAGAAGCTATAACAGAGGTTAAACCTTTATTTAAAAGTCAAAGGTTTGGGGTTTTAGATGATATAAAGATTTATAAATAAAAGTATATTAGGTCTGTGATAACGTCAAAAATATGTCCAAACGTGTTTTAACGCAGGCTCCAAATCAATTTTTATCTGCCATCAAATATTTTTGACCGGTTAGATTAGAATTTCGAACCATAGTAGATCGTTAATTATATACCCAAATTGAAAGGAGTTACTTGATACGATCAAAATACTTAACAAACATTTTTTTATTTGTCTTACAATATAAGTATTTTTGGCAAACCTTGCCCTAATGCGCTTTATTTTACTTTCCAATTGCAGTCGGAAACCATTTTGTTTACATAAACTTTAAAAATAACCCAAAATTTAAAATAAAAAAAAACATTTGCCAAAGACTTTGTTATTTGTTTTGATTTCAAGTTACTCAATTAAAAAAAAAAAAAACAAATGATTTTGTATTCAAGGGGTTAATGACATAATAAATGTTAATTTAAAAAAAAAAAAAATATAATAAAACTTAAAATAATCGATCGCTAAAAATCTGAAAAGAATTTCACTTAATTTCACTTTTGTTAATACTTGTTTATTTATTTTTAAATGGGGTTTTTAATGAACAAGAAAAAAAGGTAAATGAGTTTTATAGTTTATTTAAAAGTATTTATTGCTTTTGGATATTGTAAATGTAGGGCAATAAAATAATAGTTTATTATGGATTGGTATTAATTTGTTATTTGTTTATATTTTACAATATTTATATGGGCTTTCAAATTATGGATTTTTTTCGGAGAATTTGATAAAGTAATCACGCACTGACATATCCAATCACACTATAGTAGACTATCAGTACTTTAAGGAACAAGATTAGATTTCGATTTATCGTAATTACGAGTGTCATTTAATGACTTTGCAAATACTTATTAAGACAACTTAATAAAAAAATCAGCCCAGGGTTAGGCTAGTCAATCAATATTAGAGACATTTATTACGGCAGCTGATGGACACTTTTTTAAGTTTTGTTATATATAATTTTTACTTATTTCATTTCATGTTATGTTTTCATTACAGATTTTATTTATTCCCTAAAATACCTTTACTTGGCCATTATCCATGATATTCAATTTTGACGATGAAAATATCTAATTTGGCAACTCAAACAAAATTGAGTTTTACTTTATTATTACTAACAATATGTAAGTTGTAATTATTATATATTATTATAATATAATATTAATAACAAATTAAACATTTCAGTAACACAAACATGGGCGCAGGCGCCTAAAGGATTGTCTATTTCTACACATGATATCACTGTGTTAATCAATAGTTCTGAAACTGTTTATGTTTATGTTAAGTATGTGATATTTAATTTTTATTGTTTATAATTTTAAAATTATTTCTATTTTATAGTGATGCCTTGGAACAGCATGTTACGGTCATTCTTAAACCACAACATGACAATCTGGCATTAATAGAACCAACGCAGTTTGATTTTAATGCTGATGGTGCACAAAATCAAAGTATTGTTGTTACTGGTTTGAAACCGGGACATTTAGAAGTTACGGCCGATAGTCAACCCGATGAAGAATGGATGTAAGTAGTTTTTAGAAAGTAAAATACAGTGTATAGTTCAGACAATAGACTAAACTATAGTCGATACTATAGACTACACTATAATGCAGACTATAAAATAGACTAATCTAAATCTCAGACGAAGCTATAATGTAGATTATAGACTAGACTATAAGCTAAAATATCTACTAGACTGTAAAATAGTCTAGATTATACTATAGCCTTATAGTCCATATAGTCCAGACTATAGACTAGGTTATATTCGAGACCATAGACTGACTTGGCTATAGTCCAGACTATAGAAGAGGCTATAGTCCAGACTATAGAAGAGGCTATAGTCCAGACTATAGAAGAGGCTATAGTCCAGACTATAGAATAGGCTATAGTCCAAACTATAGACTCAACTATAGTCCAGACTATAGACTCAACTATAGTCCAGGCTATAGACTGGGCTATAGTCCTGACTATAGACTCGGCTATAGTCCTGACTATAGACTCGGCTATATTCCAGACTATAGAATCGGCTATAGTCCAGACTACAGACTCGGCTGTAGTAAAACTATAGACTGAGCTGTAGTACAGACTATAGACTCGGTTATGTTCCGGACTATAGACTAAAATATAGTTCAGCCTTTAGACTAGACTATAGAACAGGATATATTCGACTTTAGACAAGAATATATATTAGACTATAGTCCACACATTAGACAAAACTATCGATCAGGCTTTAGACAATAGACTAGGTTATAAGGTCCAACATAAAGACTAAGTTATAGCCCAGAGTATAGACTAGGCTATAGTTCCGATTGTAGACTAGACAACAGTCAAAACATCACCTAGACTATACTCGAGATTTTAGACTAGTCCACACTTAAGTTAGAACTATAATGTAGATAACAAATTCTATTTTTGTTAAAAATCTATTAAAAAGCCATATGTAGGTACTTATAAATTCAACAGTTTCCTGTTACATCTTCCAGAAAAAAGTGTTTGATGCACAAGTAATACCAGTCAATGTCATTTTTGCAAATAACAAAATTCACTTAAAACTTTTTTAAACAAACACTATAACTAAATTTAATTTATACTTAATATGTTTTATGATGTATAATTTACATATTTACTTTAAAAAGTAATGAAATTTAAACACAAAATATCACAGAAATCATTTGTGGAAGAAATGTAAACAAAAAGTAGAATAGTGCTGCCAAGTTTGTTATATGAAAATAAGAATACCAGATGACGCAAAAACTAATTGTAACGGAAAGTTGATAATTCTTTTAACTGTTAATTTAAATGAAAGAATGAAAAAAAAATTAAAAACTATAAACTACATACATATGTATTGGCTTTCTAGTTCGAAAAAAATAAACAAATTTATATTTAATATTCTTTAAATCACTATAATTTCAGCGTTAAAGATGTATTTCTACGCATTACAGTGGCCAATTCCGAAGCCATTATTTATACTTCATTGATCTTCGGCTGGATATATTTTGTGGCTTGGTCTGTGTCATTTTATCCGCAAATATGGGTCAATTATCGTCGCAAATCAGTGGTGGGCTTAAATTTTGATTTTGTTTTCTTAAATTTATTGGGTTTTACTCTGTATTCAATATTCAATTGTGGCCTTTATTGGATACCAGAAATACAAGCCGAATATACCAATCGTTATCCTCGTGGCCTCAACCCGGTTATGTTGAATGATGTGGTATTCTCTTTACATGCCATGTTTGCTACCATTATAACTATTTATCAATGTTATGCTTATGAAGTAAGTGTTTAGTTTTTCATTTTAAATTAATTAATAAATAATGTTTTTCTTTAATTTTCTTTTTTCGTAAGCGTGGAGAACAAAGTATTTCGAAAACAGCTACTGCCCTTCTATCATTATTTATTTTATTTGTAATTATATGTTGTGGTTTAGCGGCTGGTAATGTTATACATTGGTTGGACTTTTTATACTATTGTAGTTATGTGAAATTAACTATAACAATTATAAAATATGTACCACAGGTATGTATAAAGAAAGAGGAATTTGTTTCTAAATTTAAAATAAGTATAGTAAAGATTTAAAATTACCGCCATACATCAGGTTAAATTAACATTAAAAAAGTAATGCCAAGTTGAGGGAAATTTTTTTGTATTTACGTTTGAGGGAAGCTTGAAAAAGTTTAAGGTTGCCATATATATTGAAATATTAGTTTGGATGACAGTGACTACGTTAATTTGTAAACAAACACAAAAGTTTAAATTGTAGTAAAGGGAAAAATGTTATGGGAATAAGAATAATTTACAAAATAATCATTTAGTTTGAAACATTAAACGGTTACTATTTTCATTTTTTTTATTATTTAAAGGCTTTAATGAATTATCGTCGTAAAAGTACCATTGGCTGGAGTATTGGTAATATTTTATTAGATTTTACTGGAGGCACCTTAAGTATGCTGCAAATGATACTTAACGCTTATAATTATGGTAAATTAATAGCATTTTTTATTAATTAATAATGGATTAATATATAAATTTTTTATGTCTTCCAGATGATTGGGTATCAATATTCGGTGATCCCACCAAATTTGGTCTGGGTCTATTTTCGGTATTATTTGATATATTCTTTATGTTACAGCATTATGTGTTTTACAGGTATGTTTTTAAAATTTCTTTTATATTTATTTTAAAATATTTGGTAATCTACTTTACTATGGGTTTTTTGGTGGCATAAATACATAAATAACATTTAAAATAAAAATCATATTTTCTTTATATTTCATTTAGCGATTTTAATTGCAATTGTGGTACTTATAAATTGGCAGCAAAAATAGAAATATATTAAGAACATGCACACAGTTACATAAAACATACATACATATAAACATTTAAGATACATAATTAATTCAAAAGACAAACTTTCTAACTTTCTTTAACCTCTTCACATAATATTCTGTTTGTATAGTATAATCCAAGCATAAACCCGAATATTATATAAACTATTGACTTGACCAATGTCCAGATCATAGACTAGGCAATAGACTATACTATAGACTAGACTATAGACTAGACTATAGACTACTCTATAGACTAGACTATAGACTAGACTATAGACTAGACTATAGACTAGACTATAGACTAGACTATAGACTAGACTATAGACTAGACTATAGACTAGACTATAGACTATAGACTAGACTAGACTAGACTAGACTATAGACTAGACTATAGACTAGACTATAGACTAGACTATAGACTAGACTATAGACTAGACTATAGACTAGACTATACTAGACTGACTAGACTATAGACTAGACTATAGACTAGACTATAGACTAGACTATAGACTAGACTATAGACTAGACTATAGACTAGACTATAGACTAGACTATAGACTAGACTATAGACTAGACTATAGACTAGACTATAGACTAGACTATAGACTAGACTATAGACTAGACTATAGACTAGACTATAGACTAGACTATAGACTAGACTATAGACTAGACTATAGACTAGACTATAGACTAGACTATAGACTAGACTATAGACTAGACTATAGACTAGACTATAGACTAGACTATAGACTAGACTATAGACTAGACTATAGACTAGACTATAGACTAGACTATAGACTAGACTATAGACTAGACTATAGACTAGACTATAGACTAGACTATAGACTAGACTATAGACTAGACTATAGGCTAGACTATAGACTAGACTATAGGCTAGACTATAGACTAGATATAGGCTAGACTATAGACTAGACTATAGGCTAGACTCTAGACTAGACTATAGACTAGACTATAGACTAGTCTATAGACTAGACTATGACTAGACTATAGACTAGACTATAGACTAGACTATTGACTAGACTATAGACTAGACTATAGACTAGACTATAGACTAGACTATAGACTAGACTATAGACTAGACTATGGACTAGACTATAGACTAGACTATAGACTAGACTATAGACTAGACTATAGACTAGACTAGACTATAGACTAGACTATAGACTAGACTATAGACTAGACTATAGACTTGACTATAGACTAGACTATAGACTAGACTATAGACTAGACTATAGACTAGACTATAGACTAGACTATAGACTAGACTATAGACTAGACTATAGACTAGACTATAGACTAGACTATAGACTAGACTATAGACTAGACTATAGACTAGACTATAGACTAGACTATAGACTAGACTATAGACTAGACTATAGACTAGACTATAGACTAGACTATAGACTAGACTATAGACTAGACTATAGACTAGACTATAGACTAGACTATAGACTAGACTATAGACTAGACTATAGACTAGACTATAGACTAGACTATAGACTAGACTATAGACTAGACTATAGACTAGACTATAGACTAGACTATAGACTAGACTATAGACTAGACTATAGACTAGACTATAGACTAGACTATAGACTAGACTATAGACTAGACTATAGACTAGACTATAGACTAGACTATAGACTAGACTATAGACTAGACTATAGACTAGACTATAGACTAGACTATAGACTAGACTATAGACTAGACTATAGACTAGACTATAGACTAGACTATAGACTAGACTATAGACTAGACTATAGACTAGACTATAGACTAGACTATAGACTAGACTATAGACTAGACTATAGACTAGACTATAGACTAGACTATAGGCTAGACTATAGACTAGACTATAGGCTAGACTATAGACTAGACTATAGGCTAGACTATAGACTAGACTATAGGCTAGACTATAGACTAGACTATAGACTAGACTATAGACTAGACTATAGACTAGACTATAGACTAGACTATAGACTAGACTATAGACTAGACTATAGACTAGACTATAGACTAGACTATAGACTAGACTATAGACTAGACTATAGACTAGACTATAGACTAGACTATAGACTAGACTATAGACTAGACTATAGACTAGACTATAGACTAGACTATAGACTAGACTATAGACTAGACTATAGACTAGACTATAGACTAGACTATAGACTAGACTATAGACTAGACTATAGACTAGACTATAGACTAGACTATAGACTAGACTATAGACTAGACTATAGACTAGACTATAGACTATACTATAGACTAGACTATAGACCAGACTAGACTATAGACCAGACTAGACTATAGACCAGACTAGACTATAGACCAGACTAGACTATAGACCAGACTAGACTATAGACCAGACTAGACTATAGACCAGACTAGACTATAGACCAGACTAGACTATAGACCAGACTAGACTATAGACCAGACTAGACTATAGACCAGACTAGACTATAGACCAGACTAGACTATAGACCAGACTAGACTATAGACCAGACTAGACTATAGACCAGACTAGACTATAGACCAGACTAGACTATAGACTAGACTATAGACTAGACTATAGACTAGACTATAGACTAGACTATAGACTAGACTATAGACTAGACTATAGACTAGACTATAGACTAGACTATAGACTAGACTATAGACTAGACTATAGACTAGACTATAGACTAGACTATAGACTAGACTATAGACTAGACTATAACTAGACTATAGACTAGACTATAGACTAGACTATAGACTAGACTATAGACTAGAATATAGACTAGACTATAGACTAGAATATAGAATAGAATATAGACTAGACTATAGACTAGACTATAGACTAGACTATAGACTAGACTATTGACTAGACTATAGACTAGACCAAAGACTAGACTATAGACTAGACTATAGACTAGCCTATAGACTAGAATATAGACTAGACTATAGACTAGACTATAGACTAGATTATAGACTAGATTATAGACTAGACTGTAGACTAACATATTTATACAGTTAAAGAAATTTTCGTTTTGTGTTTAACATTTTCACTCCAAAAACTCCTACAACATACATATTATCATTTTAGAACATTTACTTAAGGATTATACATAGTATTTTATTTTTCTGAAAACTTTTAACCATTTCATTTCATAACTTTTCTAACATTCCTAACACTTCCTATAGTATCTTTAAAAAATGTTGACTTCATAACAAAAAAAAACTTAAATATTTTAGGTGATTTTTCAAAATCCAATGAAACCGTGGAATCTGTAGTAACACCTTCTTCTGTACCTTCTACTGTTTCTCTTAGTAGACTAGACTATAGACTAGACTATAGACTAGACTATAGACTAGACTATAGACTAGACTATAGACTAGACTATAGACTAGACTATAGACTAGACTATAGACTAGACTATAGACTAGACTATAGACTAGACTATAGACTAGACTATAGACTATACTATAGACTAGACTATAGGCTAGACTATAGACTAGACTATAGGCTAGACTATAGACTAGATATAGGCTAGACTATAGACTAGACTATAGGCTAGACTCTAGACTAGACTATAGACTAGACTATAGACTAGTCTATAGACTAGACTATAGACTAGACTATAGACTAGACTATAGACTAGACTATAGACTAGACTATAGACTAGACTATAGACTAGACTATAGACTAGACTATAGACTAGACTATAGACTAGACTATAGACTAGACTATAGACTAGACTATAGACTAGACTATAGACTAGACTATAGACTAGACTATAGACTAGACTAGACTAGACTAGACTATAGACTAGACTATAGACTAGACTATAGACTAGACTATAGACTAGACTATAGACTAGACTATAGACTAGACTATAGACTAGACTATAGACTAGACTATAGACTAGACTATAGACTAGACTAGACTAGACTAGACTATAGACTAGACTATAGACCAGACTAGACTATAGACCAGACTAGACTATAGACCAGACTAGACTATAGACCAGACTAGACTATAGACCAGACTAGACTATAGACCAGACTAGACTATAGACCAGACTAGACTATAGACCAGACTAGACTATAGACCAGACTAGACTATAGACCAGACTAGACTATAGACCAGACTAGACTATAGACCAGACTAGACTATAGACCAGACTAGACTATAGACCAGACTAGACTATAGACCAGACTAGACTATAGACCAGACTAGACTATAGACCAGACTAGACTATAGACCAGACTAGACTATAGACCAGACTAGACTATAGACCAGACTAGACTATAGACCAGACTAGACTATAGACCAGACTAGACTATAGACCAGACTAGACTATAGACCAGACTAGACTATAGACTAGACTATAGACTAGACTATAGACTAGACTATAGACTAGACTATAGACTAGACTATAGACTAGACTATAGACTAGACTATAGACTAGACTATAGACTAGACTATAGACTAGACTATAGACTAGACTATAGACTAGACTATAGACTAGACTATAGACTAGACTATAGACTAGACTATAGACTAGACTATAGACTAGACTATAGACTAGACTATAGACTAGACTATAGACTAGACTATAGACTAGACTATAGACTAGACTATAGACTAGACTATAGACTAGACTATAGACTAGACTATGACTAGACTATAGACTAGACTATGACTAGACTAGACTAGACTATAGACTAGACTATAGACTAGACTATAGACTAGACTATAGACTAGACTATAGACTAGACTATAGACTAGACTATAGACTAGACTATAGACTAGACTATAGACTAGACTATAGACTAGACTATAGACTAGACTATAGACTAGACTATAGACTAGACTATAGACTATACTATAGACTAGATTACAGACTAGACTGTAGACTAGACTATAGACTAGTCTATAGACTAGACTATAGACTAGACTATAGACTAGACTATAGACTAGACTATAGACTAGACTATAGACTAGACTATAGACTAGACTATAGACTAGACTATAGACTAGACTATAGACCAGACTGTAGACTAGACTATAGACTAGACTATAGACTAGACTATGACTAGACTATAAACTAGACTATAGATTAGACTATAGACTAGTCTATAGACTAGACTATAGACTAGTGTATAGACTAGACTATAGACTAGACTATAGACTAGTCTATAGACTAGACTATAGACTACACTATAGACTAGACTATAGACTAGACTATAGACTACACTATAGACTAGACTATAGACTAGACTATAGACTAGACTATAGACTAGACTATAGACTAGACTATAGACTAGACTATAGACTAGACTATAGACTAGACTATAGACTAGACTATAAACTAGACTATAGACTAGACTATAGACTAGACTATAGACTAGACTATAGACTAGAATATAGACTAGACTATAGACTAGAATATAGAATAGAATATAGACTAGACTATAGACTAGACTATAGACTAGACTATAGACTAGACTATTGACTAGACTATAGACTAGACCAAAGACTAGACTATAGACTAGACTATAGACTAGCCTATAGACTAGAATATAGACTAGACTATAGACTAGACTATAGACTAGACTATAGACTAGATTATAGACTAGATTATAGACTAGACTGTAGACTAACATATTTATACAGTTAAAGAAATTTTCGTTTTGTGTTTAACATTTTCACTCCAAAAACTCCTACAACATACATATTATCATTTTAGAACATTTACTTAAGGATTATACATAGTATTTTATTTTTCTGAAAACTTTTAACCATTTCATTTCATAACTTTTCTAACATTCCTAACACTTCCTATAGTATCTTTAAAAAATGTTGACTTCATAACAAAAAAAAACTTAAATATTTTAGGCATGCTAATAGTGATTTTTCAAAATCCAATGAAACCGTGGAATCTGTAGTAACACCTTCTTCTGTACCTTCTACTGTTTCTCTTAGTGTTAATGATAAAAAAGAACAAGTTTAGTTTTATAGCGAATTTAGCTAAAAATTTGTTGTAAATTTTTGTTTGTAAAAAATTGTGTTATTTAAGTTATAAATTGTAATTTTTATATTTATACTATAATAAGTATATGTATGTATTCTGTAATTTTTAGTTAAATTGTAAATTATTTTATTAAATGTTTTTCTATATTATATTATTTTTTACTACTTATACCACATAAAGCAAAAATTAGTAAATGTATTATGTGTGTGTTTTATTTGTAACACCTGCACTTTTGGCTTTTAGTAGGTAAAAAAGGAAAATTGGCTTTAAATGTATAATTTAGAGTTCAAACACCGTTTTTTGCACAGGCTTTGTTTTCTTCATAAGTTTTTTTTTAATATTAATTATACTCAATTTGACTTACTTTAGCAATAGAAGACGTCCCTCATTTCCCTGTCATTGCCCTAAATTTAGTAAATTGTTTAAAAAACGTGTTTGTACCTGTACCATTAGCCAAACCCCAAACAATGTTAAACACAATTCAACGACTAATGATGGCAAAAGTCATCAACAAGTATCGCATGCTCAAATATTTTACGATAAAATTTTATAAATAAATGTAGTTAATTTTGTCAAAAAATTATTTTGTTTATCTTTTTGAAAATTAAAAAAAAATTACAAAGGTAAAGTAGATAGTTGTTAACTATAAACAATTTCGCTCAGTGTTTATTTTTTGAAATACAATTTAATACAAATTATACAGCCTACTTTAAGGCATGAAAATTCGTTAATACTTTTTATTACCGTTACAGCAACACTCAACCATATGAATCTTTGCCTGGAGACGACAATGCCAATGTGGCAAATGTTCAAAATCGTGCTGATCTGGAACGCAATTCTCTTAATAGAGATTCAGTATTAGATATTTAATTAACATTTCATCTGTATTATATTTAAAATATTCTATTTATTTCATATTAAATATATACTAAATAATTCATTTAATTTCACTGGTAACTTATTTCTAGGGAAATATTTTTCCTAATAATTAATTAATTTTAAGGTACAACATTCCATGGCACATAACTACCAGCAGCAGGTTGCTCAATCTGAAATATAATATAAAAAATTTAAAAATTTCAAAACTAAAGAATGTAATCTAAAGAAACTTATTTGAATCTTCCAACTTAGTCCAGAATAGACCAAATTATAGACTAGACTATATACGAGACTATAGACTAGATTATAGATATAGTAAATAAGTCTGAAGTTTCCTTACCAAATTCGTGAACTCATCCTGACAAGCCATACGTATACGTGCGGAAGTTGCTGGTGACTCCAGTCTAAATTCCGCGCTCAAGCCATTCGATATCCGGGCCGCTGTTATGGCTTCTTTAATAGCAAAGAAAACAGAACAGCCTATAAACAAGGGAGGTTCACCAACAGCCTAGAAAAAGTATTACCACTTAAAAAAAAAAAAAAACTATAAATAAAAAAAATTTCACTCTTACCTTGGAAGAATAAACTGCTCGAGGATTAGCTGCCCCCGTTAAAATCGTAACATTAAATTCTCCTGGTATATCAGCAAAACCGGGCAATTTGTACATGCCGGGACCACGTGAATAGACAACACCTTGGGGTGAGTAAACCATTTCTTCTAAAGTAAAGAGGCCATAACCTTGCATAAAAGCACCTTCGATTTGACCAATATCTATGGCTGGATTTAAACTTGAACCAATATCCATAACAATATCGGTGCTAATAACCTGATGATCTCCGGTAAGACAATCGATTTCTACAACCGAAGCTCCCACACCATTAGTAAAGTAGTTGTACATTAAAGCATTGGGATTATTAACTGGATCATAGCCAATATCGGGCATTCTATAGAAACCAGTAGCCGATAAGCTAATACGGTCAAAATAGGCCTTACTAATCCATTCAGTCCAAGTGCCATTAGGATTGGCTTCTTTAATAGGCGCCAAACGTTTATTTAACTTTTCACAAGCATCCAAAACTGCCATGCCGTTTAGATCGGAACCCGAACTGGCTGCTGTGGGGGAAGTATTTGGCACTTTATCGGTGGCTGTCTCGGAAATGTGTATGTATTCAATGGGTATTTGTAAAGCACGAGCACAACATTGCAGCATTTTGGTGTGCAAACCCTGGCCGATTTCCACGCCGCCATGCGAAAGCAGTACCGAACCATCGGCATAGATATTAATCAAAGCACCAGCTTGATTAAGATGCGAAACACCAAAAGCTATGCCATACTTGGTGGGCACTAATGAAATGCCACGCTTGCGCCAACGATGATTACGATTGAATTCTTCAATCTCTTGTTTTTTCTGGTAATACTTCGATTGCTGCAGACAATCGTAGAAACATTTCTCAATGGGAAAATTGTCCAACTTTTGTTGATAGTGCGTTATGTCGCCTTCTTTGTAGAAATTCAATTTCATAATTTCCAAATAATCCTTGTTTAAAATGCGTGCAACATCACGTATTATATGCTCTCCCGCAAACATGCCCTGAGGACCACCAAAACCCCTAAAAGCGGTATTTGACGGTAAGTTTGTTTTACACACCCAACCGCCCACTTTAATGTTGGGTATTTTATAGCAATTCTCAAAATGATACATGGCTCTTTCCAATACCGAGAAAGAAAGATCCATCGACCAGCCGGCATTATTGTAGCATTCAATATAACAACCGGTTAAACGACCCTCTGAGGTAAAGGCAATCTTGTATTTAAACAAGAAGGGATGACGAGTACCGGTGATCATCATGTCTTCATCACGATCCAGCATACAACGTATGGGTCTACGCAAACGGTGACAGGCCAAAGCCACCGGCAGGGCTACGGCAATAGCTCGTGATTCTTTGCCACCAAAACCACCGCCCAAACGTTTGGCACGGCAAACAATACGATGTGCTGAAGTGGATAAGACATGAGCCACTAGTTTTTGCACCTCCGATGGATGTTGTGTGGAGCAGAATAATTCAATTTCATCCGAATCACGGGGCACCGCCAAAGATGCATGAGTCTCTAAATAGAAATGCTCCTGACCACCCATGCGACAGGAACCCTCATAGACATGATCAGCTTCTCGGAAAGCTTTCTCTACATCACCTTTTTCCGTAAAACGAGGATAGTCTGGGAAATAGGATTGATGTTCAATGGCTTGTTCAATAGTTATAATCACTGGTTTGATATCCTCATATTCGATTTTCACCTTACGGGCTGCTCTTTGAGCTATAGTTTGATTATCAGCCGCTATAGCGCCCACAACTTGTCCTTGGCAGTATACTCTATCTGAGGCGAAAACCTCTTCATCATGAAATACCGGACCAACTTCATTTTCATGATGCGTTAGATCTTTGCTGGAGAAGAAGGCATGAACACCAGGCATGGCTAAAGCTTCTGAAGCATCAATACTCAGGATTTTAGCATGAGCTTTTGTACTCAATACCAATGCTAAATACAACTCATTTTCCATGCGTGGTATATCATCGCAATAGATGGCTTCGCCGGTGGCCTGTTTTAAGGCGGAAGCATGTATCTTAGGTCTACCAATAGGATCACATTCCGATTGTTTGTTAGAGACTTTTTCAAACAGTTGAGCACTTTTCAAGGCAGGAGTATGGAATACCTCAGCACCACTTAATTCTTCTTGGGGCAAAGAATCTTCAGGTAAAATACCATCCTTAATAAGTTTTTGTGTTATGGTAAGATAGGATTTAAAGAATAAGCTCACCACCAGAGAGCGTCGGTAAGCAATCATGCCACCAGGAGCAGAGGGCGCTAATGGTAACTCTGCACACAAACTTTCTACTATACGTTCCATTAGGACCTTATTCCACTGTTGTTTAACCATTATTTCGGCAGAACGTGTAGCCAAGACGGTAGTTGGCGCCATACCTCCAAAAGCCATATAAACCTTTTCTACAGTTATAGTCTTGGGATCTATAAACACATTAATGGCTGCATTTACTATGGCTATATCATCATCTCTACGTTTGGCCTGTTTAAAGGCCACCACATATTGATGTTGCAAAGTCTTAGGGAAATATAGACCCACCAAAACTTCTGTGGGTTCGATAACATTTTTACGATAGCCCGTAAAGAAACCCGATGACATACATACCTCTCTGTACTTAATTTGACCCTCAACGTATTTGGCCACTTTCAATTTAACAGCACCGGCCATTAGTACAGGATTCATGTCGGATATGGGACTACCGGTCATAATATTTCCACCCAACGAGGCCACATTTCGAATTTGTTTACCCGCAAAATAATGCAACATATTGACTGCACATTGGAAGAATCTGGTTTGATGTTCGGGTAACTTCTCAATTCTCTCTCTTAAAATTTTGTCTATATCCATTAAACTAACGGAAGCGCCAAAATATATATTCTCCTCTGATTCCTGGACATCTATCATTTCTTTCACCTTTGTAGGATTTACCAGGACGGGATAGAGAAAATGTTTAAATTTAACCTCCACTCCTATTTCCGTATTGCCCACGACCAACTTAGCTTCTGGATATTGTGCCTTTATCTTAAGTAAATCTTCTAAATTACCAGGTCGATACCAAGTAACACGTTCGCTTTTATAAACCAATGTCTGAGAATCCCATTCTTTGTTTAGCTGTAGTTCTGGGGGAAATATGGGTTCTTGTGTAGGATCAAAAGGCACAAATTCACTTTTCTCAAATAGTTTATCATCGACCAAGACACCATTTTCCACGCCATTGCCACAAGCATTGCCGTTCATTTTACAACATTTCTCACCCATAGGACAACCAAATTCTTTGGTAAATGTTTTATAACCCTCTAAAATGGGCCTATAACCAGTACAGCGACATAAATTGCCTTGAAAGGCAACTTCCAAATCTTTCATGGATGGCTGAGGTGAATTTCTTAATAGGGCATACATAGACATAACAATGCCGGGAGTGCAAAAACCGCACTGACTACCATGGGCTTTGGCAAGACGTTCTTGTACTGGATGTAGTCTGGTGCGTGTACTACCAATACCTTCAACAGTGGTTACAGCACAACCATGCATGGCACACACTGGTGTTAGACAAGCGTTCACCGCTATATGTTTAATTTGATTCGTTAGTGTGTCAATGCGTGAAATCATTACAGTACAGGCTCCACATCCACCCTCGCCACAACCCAATTTCGTGCCACATAATCGGAGTTTTTCACGTAAATATGTGAGTAGGGTACATTCTGGAT